TCTCAGTGAAAAATTAAGATATTTGAGCAAACTCAACGGCATTTAAAAGAGGTAGACTTATACTTTAAAATACCACGTCTACTTATTTATGAAGAGCAAAATCTTCTTAGGNTAGCTAGCATCTATTATAGCACGAAAAATTGTAGTTGAAAAGGTAAGTTTGGTATTGTTCGAGTTGCAATCACAACCGCAGTGTTGCGCGAATTAATATAGCATCATCTTCGCTGTGAATTTCTAGCAATGTTTTATCAATAAGCAGTCGTTGTACTTAACCGGAGCTTCTACCTCCGATTTGTGCTAATCAGACATTTAACAACCGGCCCTTAAGGCTCTGTTATGCATACTTGGCATTGCATGCACTGCTATACCATTTTTACGTAGAAATCAAAAACCAACAGACTTCTACGTATGTAATGCTGTGCGTTGAGTAACCGCTTACACGCGAAGCTCATTTAACAGATTCCTTATGTGACAACACTCAAGCAATGCCAAGTATGTATAACAGAGCCTTTAGGGCCGGTTGCTCGAAGCCTTGTTGACACTAATCATCGCTTAACATCGTTATCAACTCCATGCACATAACACGGTGTCGGTAACGATATCACAGGTCAACAACGTTTTGTTCTAGGAAAGTGTAGGGACATTTTCGAAGTAATTTTTTGCGTAGAATCCGAATCCGGGGCTTAAATTGCTCTATCGTGATAGAGCAATTTAAACCCCGTNAGATGGTTGCCACTTCGTCAGTTTTGCAGATGGTAAAAAAGTTATAAGTTCCTATTCAAAATACTTCTAAAATATTTGAAATTTACTGTCGAATAAGGGTTTTTAGTTGAAAAATAACNGCATTTAAAAGAGGTAGACTTATACTTTAAAATACCACGTCTACTTATTTATGAAGAGCAAAATCTTCTTAGGTACATAACCTCAAAAATTGGCAAAAACAGCGTTTTTTGCACTTTTAGGTTAGGATATCTCAAAGTCTTGACGTGATAGAGCAATTTAAACCCCGGNACCTCCGATTTGTGCTAATCAGACATTTAACAACCGGCCCTTAAGGCTCTGTTATGCATACTTGGCATTGCATGCACTGCTATACCATTTTTACGTAGAAATCAAAAACCAACAGACTTCTACGTATGTAATGCTGTGCGTTGAGTAACCGCTTACACGCGAAGCTCATTTAACAGATTCCTTATGTGACAACACTCAAGCAATGCCAAGTATGTATAACAGAGCCTTTAGGGCCGGTTGCTCGAAGCCTTGTTGACACTAATCATCGCTTAACATCGTTATCAACTCCATGCACATAACACGGTGTCGGTAACGATATCACAGGTCAACAACGTTTTGTTCTAGGAAAGTGTAGGGACATTTTCGAAGTAATTTTTTGCGTAGAATCCGAATCCGGGGCTTAAATTGCTCTATCGTGATAGAGCAATTTAAACCCCGTATTCGGATTCTACGTAAATAATTACTTCGGAAATGACACTACACTTTTATAGAACATTCCGAACCCATTTTTTTGCAGACCTGTGTATTTAACCGGCGATTAGTGTCAACTAGGCTTCGAGCAACCGGTCCTAAAAGTGCGCGGTTGAGGCCTTCACTTTGAGGGCCGGTTGCTCAAAACCTGCATCAAATGCATTTGTAGATGCATTTCGATTTGCACTTTAATATAAAAATTTTGAATAGCCTTGATTTAGTTATTTACAAGCTAGATCTCTTTAAAAAAAAGACTATCCGCTCACTGTCGAGTAGTCTGAAAATCGACTAACCGAAATTATTCGAATAGAGACAGTTTTTCACCAAAAAATTATATTGGGAAAATTTTAGTGAAATTCGACCCCAAAAAATAATCATTGGGGAGAGGGTTTTGATTCTAAGGGCCGTTTACTCAATATGTGGTTAACACTAATCTCCGTTTAAACATCATTATCGACGTGTTCGGCTCCATGCATATAACATGGAGTCGGTAACGTCGATAACGATGTTTTACCGGAGATTAGTGTTAACCAGACATGTCTGGTTAAGAAAAATCTCCGGTTAAGGGCCGGTTGTTCAATGTCTGGTTATCACTACCACTACACTATCGACGATTTCGACATCATGCATGTAACATGTGATCGATAAAGCAGTAGTTGTGCTTAACCGGAGCTTCTACCTCCGATTTCTGCTAATCAGACATTGAACAACCGGCTCTTAACATAGTTATCAACGTTACCGACTCCCTGTAGTATGGATGGAGTCGAAGACGTCGATAACGATGTTTAAACGCAGATTAATCAGCCCTATTCTGCATTTCGATTACGTTCCCGCATTCCGCTCCGGTGGAATCGAACTTATGTATTCTGCGTTACGATCGAAACGAAAGAAGAAGAGGAAGACAGAAAACATCTTTCGAAATTAGCTGTTTGCCTAGGAATGTGTGAAATCGAAACAAAACAAAGAGATATTTGACACCAAACTATAGCAGCACATGAAGCAACGAAAAGATCAAAAGAGAACATGAAAACTTGAAACGAATTGACGGTACGGAGGTATCTATACTCTTCCCCTCTCTTCCCACCTCCTTCGCCAACGAACGAGCAGACTTGAAAGGAAGACTTGACGTGTCTGAAAGGGGACAAAGTTTGTAAATATAATAAAATAACTAAATATACCTAGCATCACTGTAATTTAAAAGTAAAATTTAAGTGGATACATAATTATAATGAAATCCATAGCCGCGGCGTTATTGCTTGAAGAGAAGAACGAGTCCCAGATTGCTGATGCGGAAGTTGAAAGGCGGAGATTTAGGGACATGTTTGATCTTTTTTAGATGAGTGAAGAGTCATAAGGAATTCATCTTGTACTCTATTACTCATCGTTTAAAGTCAGTGAAATTATAAACGTTGTTTAGAGCAGTTCACAACATTTGCATTTACTACAGAGTGGAAGATTTGAACTCAAACGAATCCCATTTTAAAAGCCGTCAGGAGGAGGGGAAGAACAGAGCTTCTTTCCATAGCAAATCGAATTCGAGACAACATACGCACCTCTTCTTAAAAAGTTAGTAAAAACGAGTGCAATAATAAAAGCATATTTTTTATGTAACTTCACATTTTATGTATGTATGTATCTATGTGCATACATCGATTAATTTTATATAAAAAAAAATAAATTGTATTCAGTGCATTTCACAGTCTTATTTATAGATAATGTTGTTCGGAACTCCTGCCTTTACCAAATTCAATTTCTATCATGATTGTTATTCCAATTTTATGTATGCTTACATTCACCTACTTATGTTTATGAATTCCAATATTTGCTATTTACTTGCTTGTATATATGTACATATGTATGTATTTCAATTTGTCATTCCTGTGTACATATGTACGTTTACCGCTTTAATTGCTTACTTATTCACATGTATAATTTGTTTTTGTTAATTTCCCGTACTGCGGCATTTGCCTTTTTGTCGCGCACTTCAGTAAACCCATTTGAGTTTGCTAGTTGCTATGTATATATGTAATTCCCTCAGTTATGTATATATGTACGCACTCCTTTGGGCTTTGTTTTTGTGCCTTTACCGCAGTGTGTCAATCGCCTTTTCACTGGTGCGCTTGCTCGTCGTAGTTTGGCAAATCGTTCGCTCAAACTCAAATCTCAATTCAGTCGTCGACAAAGGAGAAAAGGTGAAGGACACACTGCGGTAAGCAATATTTTTAATTTGTACAACATTCATATATGTATAAGTAACTTTGTATTTTTTCTTAGAAATAAACCAAGTTTCTATAACTTGCGTTAAATTCGCCAGCGAGTCGACGACAAATGTAAACAAAAACGCCTGGACTTCCACTTTGAAAACGTCGCGCAATATACCTTTTGGTTGCCATTATTTGGGCCAATTTTTCGTATTGCCCGCATTACCGCTCGCGAAAACACAGAAATCGTGAAAATTTATTTATGATGACTTACAATCATGCATAGTATATTTTACTTAAAGTTTTTATAAAATTTTATTATTTAAACCCACGAAAATAACAATTGAAACGTTCTCCGTCAACAAATTTGCAACTTAGAAAAACGGAACTACGATCGAAATGTAGAATAGGTATAATCGTAAATTTCTATTGATCGAAAGGAAACGGAACGCAGAATACCAAAGTTGCCAAACGGAGAAAATTTCGATTCGAGTCGAAATGCAGAATAGGGCTGAATATTAACCAGACATTGAGTAACCGGCCCTAAAACTATGTTCACATATCATTATTATCTCAATCAAAGCTCGTTTTTTAATCACCCCGTTTACATAGGCAAATGTCACACCCCTATTGCGAATGTCGACTGGCAGTAGATAAACGACTATTAAGCGATTATCGATCCTATTGCGAGTGTCGCTTAGTCGCTCAATTAGCGACTGTGAATACTTTGTAATCGCTCATCCTTCTATTGCTGTTTTTTAGTCGTTGGAGTTTGCGTTTATAAAATTTACATAAGAAAGTGGTACTATAATGGATAAAAAGTAAGTCAATTGAACTGGAAGTTGTAAAAAATTGTGAAATATACATATGCATGTATGTGTCTGAATTACAGATCAAAAATTATAAGCAACAAAAGGCAACTTGCGCGGTTGGTCGTTCTGATGCAGGAGAGTGAAGACATAGGCAAAGGAATTTCCGGAAAGAGTAGGGTAGGAAGCTCCGCTTCTATTGGAAAAGATACATATACAATATTTCTTGTGCATATAACTCCGGCTACGCCATCCACAATGTTTTTGCGCAGAACCAACATCAAAAGTTTATACAAAAAAACTGCATAATTTATTAATTGACTAGTGCTCGGAAATTTGAAATCTTTATTTTAAATTAAAGTTGAATTCTGTCAATACACTTGTTATGTTGTTATGTTAAAGTTTTTAAACTCGGGTCACGCGTTTGGACACAAAAACCCAACATCATTGTACAAAAAACTTAAACGTACCGTATTTCTTAGACTTCCATAAAGTTTATTAATGAGGAAAACAGCTTTTCCTGCAAATCATGTAAAGCCTAAAAACCGTGAAGCATCGGGAACGCAACTTCTATTCATAAAAATCACATATGTACATACACCTTCAAGTCCAAGGGATCCGACGAATCTCGCAATTCCCTCCTTGCTTTTGC